GATATATAATATATTTATCTATATATATATTATATAATATATATTATAATATAATATAATATATATTTATAATATATTATTATATATTATATTATATTATATATAATATATTATTATATTTATAATATAATTAATGGAGATATATAATATAATACGTTGAATAAAAATATTATTCCAACGTTTCAAGTCGAAATAAAATTCTGTCCTCTTTTCATCAATATTTAAGTATTCAGATAAACATTTGCATACAATAAATATAAATTCTCCTTGTCTCTTAACACTGAATCTATCACGCTGATCAATATGACCGATCTCATATGTTTCATTTCAAAATTGTTAAAATTAGAGCACCGCAAAGTCGGTCGTTTTGAATAATCGGCAAAATTTAGCATTAAGAAACGATTATAATCGACAACGTTCTAATCATTGTAATAATTGCAACCAAATTTGCGACGAACCGTGAAAGCAACGATAATTTCAAGTACCTCGAAGAGTCAAAAAAGTACAAAAGAAACGATCTTGTTACTGCACATAATACTCCCGCAAAGTTCAAGAGAACTCAAGATCAACGATCAAATCAAATTGTTCAAATGTGCATCAGAGATCAAACACGAAAGGTTGCCTCAATTATTATAGCCACTGGTTATCTCATTTGGCCGGCTGCTGACGACTTCCGAATGTACGATATTTCTAGAGATAATTATAAGTAATTTACGTACCATTTCATACGTAATTCTTCCTTCAGTTTTGTCGAGTGCTTCGCGAATCTCCGTTCTTAGTGTTTTCTGTACGTCCATATTTAATGCTAGTTCGTACAGACCGAAGGCCATGGCGGAAGAGGAAGTTTCAAAACCGGCAACGTAGAAAACGCCTGCCTGCGCTAGCAGGTCTTCGTAGCTGAATTCTGTGATACGCGTCGATCAAAATTACATTATATAAAATATATAAAAAAAAACATTATAACATAAATTATATAAAAAAAAGAAGATGAATGCACAGAAACATTGGAGACGTAAAGTAGTGGAGGATAGTTGTCAGTTCTTCATTTCGTGAACGCAAAGTGAGTAAAACATGAAATAACTTACTGAACCCATCGATAGCACCTTCATTCTCATGCGTTTGCTTCAGTTCGACGAGAAGGTCGATCAAATCGTTCCTCTTCTCCCCCGTCTCAATTCGCTGATTCATCACTTTGTCGACAATGGATCGGAAATATTCCGTGGCCTGTTTGCCGAAAAATTTGGCGCGATAATACTTAGTTAAATGTGGCATAAAGAATATAATAAGGAACTCCAGGCCGCGAAGAAAGTCATAGTCGAAAACTTTTCTGCCCTGTTCCCGGAAGTGTGTTTTGGGATCGCGCAACGAATTCACTTGTATACCAAAAATCGTGGTGGCAATCAAATCCGTGGTAAAGTTTGCCGCAAGGTCTTTCATCTCCATCACCTTGGGAATAGCTGAAACAGATGCACGAGAATTATTACTATATTGCGTAATTGAATATACATATATACACAGGGTGTCCCAAAAATGTCTCGCAATCCGAAAGCGGCGGGTTCGTCAGGCCATTTGAAGCAACTTTTTCTTTTACAAAAATTTTCTCCGAGGCACCGTTCACGAGTTATTAACAAAAACACAGTGACCAATGAGAGGCGAGCTCGGCTGGCGCGAGGCGACCGAGCCAATGAGCGGAACTGGGCTTCGTGCGCTGGTTGGCTGGACCGCCTCGTGTCAGCCGTACTCGATTCTTATTGGTCACTGTTTTCGTTTTTGTAAAGGAAGAAGTTGCTTCAAATGATCCGAGGAACCCGCTATTTCCGGATTGCGAGACATTTTCGGGACATCCTGTATATATATAGCCATTTGGAGAATGTTGCTTTAAAAATTCAATACATTGAAGTAATAGTGCTTGAAATCTATCGGCAGAGTTTCTTATCTTTGAACATTATTTTTTTTAGAGATAAACCTGTATCACACATGATACCGATTACTTAAATGGTTGATATCGCTCGAAGACTTCGAATGTTGGATAATATAGATGTAATGAAGTTCTAGTGAACTAACATAAATTTGATTCTTCGAGAATCAAATTAAGTTTTAAAGAAGCTATACCGTTTTTCAAGTGGTCTTAAATATATGTCCGCTACTTGTATGTTCGAATTTGTGATATAGTAATAATTCTCGTGCAATTAATAGCAAAATTGAAAAAAAGTATTAGAGTCATTGTCTAGTAGACTGATCCCTCTATCATCTAAAAAAAATTCAAGTCATTTAGTCCAGTTTTAAAGAAACTATACCCTTTTTCAAGTGATCTTAAATATATGTCCGCTACTGTATATAAATATTTGGAGAATGTTGCTTCAGAAATCCAATACGTTGAAGTAATAGTACTCAAAATCTATCGGTAGAGGATTTCTCATCTTCGAACATGCTTTTACGATTAAATCTGCATCATTCATGATACGAATTACCAGAATCGTTGATATTGCTTCGAGACTTCGAACGTAGGATAATATAGACATAACGAGTGAACGTAAATCTTTTGCAATTTCGTCGTGTAGTGGTTTCCCCTAAGTAGTGGTTTCATAGAGACAACTTTTCCTTAGCAATATCGTGGACTAACATAAATTTGATTCTTCGAGGACCCGATCCAGTTCATCGGCAACGACCAGCATCAAGTCGAACATTTTCTTCAGCCGTCCGGAAGTGAAGAGAGGCGTCAGCTTCATTCTAAGCACCCTCCAGCGCGGATTATTCATCAGGAAAAGATTCGCGGATCCAATTGGATCATGCTTATCCGACGAAGCATATCTATCAGCGAATGCGCCAAAATCCTTTACCATAACGTGTTTCACAAGTTCAGGATCTCGTACCAGGAAGAATGGTTTATCGAAAATGTAGAACCCCGCGTAAGGTTCGCCTTTGAAGTGGCAATGCAGTTCTTTCGCGAAGTCTTGCGATGCTTTCTTCAACATAAGACAGCCTCCGAAATTTCCGACGAACGGTGCCGGAGGAATTTCCGGAACTCCTCGTTTTGCCCAGTATTTGAAATTTCGGGTGACGTACATGTACGCCGCGACGATGAGAGATGCGCAAATCAGGATGCCATCTAGGATCCAGTGTGGCGTGAGGAACGCCATTTTCGAGATACGGGGAAGAAAATGAATTGATTCGTGCACAGAGTATTCTCGAAATTAGCATTCGGCTAATGGATATTTGTCTTATAGATGGTAGTTATTCTTTCTGGTTATTGCCACGTTAGAAAATGTCACGATCGGCATTAGAGTACGAAATAATAATCAGGCACTGTGAGAGAGACCTCTTTTGCAACGTGTAGAGCAGCTTGAACCGATACTGTGGATTACGAACGTGTGAGAATACTTTTATACAAGTATCCTCCCACCCATTCGGAGTGATTAGTTTTTGTAGTTAGAAAGAGGGAGACAGATGTGTCGTATGTGGTGGTGGGGCGATGTTGTAGTACTCGCGATAGCTGAGGAAATAAATGTGGATTGAGTAAAATGAATTATCTATGGCTTTAAATAGAACATAATGTAATTAACGATAATGTCACCTCGACAATCGTACCGTTATTTGTTCCAAATATGGCATCTTCAGGACATTGTTAATTGTTCGCAGCTTGAGAATTTTTGTACTTAATAAATGAAATAAAAACCTCTCTATACAAAATGCGACGTCAAAAGTCATTAGCAACTCGGTAATAAGGTCGAAGTTGTTATCGTCATGTTTAAAATGTATCGTCTGATAATTATTGCGGTAAAAAGAAATTTGGTCTCGATATGATATTTTCCGATATTTTAATGATGTACTTCGATTAGTGCAACGTTATCGCTAATAACAATGAAATTATAATCATAAGGAGGCATAGGACGAGGTATGATAATTATTATGATCACTTGCGGACAGTTAAATATTTGTGAAGTTATAATAATTCATTGTTTTAAATTACATTGTTTTTTGATCGCATCAAATTTGTTTTCATATCTTTTTCTCTGATAAGTACATGATTACTGTATGCTACGATATGATAAATGTATAAACTTCAATTTTTTGAAATAGTGGCATATCGCATTTTTCTCCACAACCTCAGATTTATTTATTATAGTGTCAAGTTGAATTAATATACAGGGTGTCCCAGGTTTTAATTTTCAAACTTTGACAGTATATTCTATGGCACAAAGTAAGAAAAAAATGTTATGTAAACATAGGTCGTATAGAGCTTATTAAGAAGTTATAACAAAAATTCAGGATGGGAATAGTAATCAACTAAAAAAAAAAATAAAAAATAAAAAAAAATCTTCGATCGATGTCAATCATGTATTGTCAACAATACAATACATTTCGAAATGTATTAATAAACACAGCTTACATAAACACACGGCATGTGCTGATCTATTCGAGCCAATGCTCGCAGTAACAGCGAGTTGATTACTATTCCTATTCTGAATTTTTATTATAACTTCTTGATAAAGCTCTATATGACCTATGTTTACCTAACATTTTTTTCTTACTTTGGGCCATAGAATACACTGATAAAGTTTGAACATTAAAACCTGGGACACCCTGTAGAGGCAGTAAGATTGCGAAGTGCACGATTCAATATTCGATTAGAAAACATGACTCTGCATATATTTTTTAAATTGGATCAGCATAAATCCGAATCATTCTATGTTTGGAAGCTTATAAGCGCGTGTGACGCACACTTTGACTGCCACGTCAGTGAGACTGGCGAGTAGAAAAAAAAAACGTTTGTAGATATCTATATCTAACAACAATAAATGCAAGCTTCAACTGCGGCAACCTGTGACTATATCATAATATGTTGGTAAATAACTTTGTTGAGGACGTAAAACAAAAATAATGTCAATTTTGATAAAAAAAAGTCAAAAAAACTCTACTGTTGCAAATTTGGATAGTGACCTAAATTATTTAATTTTAAATTACGTGAATTTATCAGTTTTTAAATTAAGTAGTTATTTTTTATTGAAAGAAATTATTATCTTTTATTAAATTTAATTGAAATTCGAGTTATTCTTTTCAGAATTACAATGATTTCAACTTTGTCGATTTTAATCATTTTCTAATTCTAAATCCACGAAATAATAGAATCGATTAATGTGTGCTGCTCTATAAAAATGGTTCCTTTAATGAATAACTTAACTTATTTTTATTATCGCCATTACTATCATAATGGATGCTCAAATTAACAAACTGATTGAATGGGACTTTTATATGGCATTAAAATCTTAATAATTTTGAAATAAAACACGCGAAAAAAAAGTATTGAAAAATATTTGCATATCTCTATACTTGAATGCTTAAATATTGATAAGTAAACGTCGACTTAAAACAGAGGAATAATATCCATACTTAACGTTGAGTCTTAGGATTTATATAATAGAATTATACATATGTATATGTATATAAATGTGTAAATATATTTAATAATGACAAATTAAGTTATTAGGTACAATATAGACATTGTAGTTATAGATAAAATTCAGACTTTATTCCTAGATCTACTAACGTTCTTGCAGTCTTTGCACTCTAGCACACTCTTAACTCTTCATTCATATAACTTCCACTGACTCACATTCAGATTCACGCAACTCTCATGCCAGTAATACATCTGACGGATAATCGCTTTAACACCAGATTTATGGAACCCGTCAAAATGACGAGTCACTGTCACAATTTTTTAATTTACGATTATTCATATCGTAAAGATACATTTATGAGTTATTTGTTCAATTTCTATGTAAATGTCTTACTGTTACTTTTATATACTGATATAAACCAGCTGTTTTTTGTGCTTCGTAAATCTAGTGTCAACTGTCCATAAAAAAACATCGACAAACAGGCACAGACAGCGATCGGTGGAACAGGAAATGTTTTTGATCAACGATTGGAGCAGACGATTCTAACGCAATTTGATCGAGTATGGTCGTGTTTTATTTTAAGTTTTTATTTTAAATTTTCACGTGCCCTCAGTCGAACAAGGATAATATCATTGTCTTCTCGTACCGCTAGAAATTTATTATAATTTATTACAGCGCGTACATAGGGTGTCTCAAGAGGTATTTAACTGCTTGAAATTTGTGATTCCTGAGATCGTTTGAAGTAACTATTTCCTTTGCACAAATACTTTCCGCGGCTTTGTTTACGAATTTTACCGACATTTTATAAGATACGTAATACCTACAGTCGCAGGTTGACATCATTAAACTTTGCATACGTTGTTAATTTAGATACATACAAATGTTTCTTTTTCCACTAGCACGTTGGCGCATATTGACGTAAGAAAGGTTCTGCCCTTCAAACTTCATTAACGTTGCTCTTTCTCATATTTAATCGTATCACATGTAAAATTGCTCGCAGAAGTGGAAAATAGATACAGTAATGACTCCTTAACTGCAGCTCATTCTTGTGGTTGTTGACAATTCGAAACTATAAAAACGAATCGCAAGGCTCGAATAATCGTATCTCCCCTTCCCAAATTGTCCATTTTAGTGGACAATGTGAGCGTCAATTAGAGAGAAATTACTGTACTTTTTGCGATTTTTTTCCGAACCTTGGTACTCGAACTAAGCCAGAAAAAAGTTATGTTATCATCACTATCTTTGAACCGATACTGTGAATTACGAACATGCGAGAATATATTTATACAAATACCCTCCCACCCTTTCAGAGGGATTAGTGTTAGTGATATGTTGTGGTGGGGCGACGTTGTAGTACTCACGGTAGCTGAGGAAATAAATATAGATTGAAATAAATGAATTTTCTATGGCTTTTAATCGAATATATTGGGTTGGCAACTAACATACAGACATGTTTGTTTGTTTGATTGGTTTGTTTGTTTGTTTGATTGGTTTGTTTGTTTGTTTGTTTGTTTGTTCGTTCGTTTGTTTGTTTGTTTGTTCGTTCGTTTGTTTGTTTGTCTGTATGTTTGGTTGGTTGTTTGATTGGTTTTGTGGTGGACCAGACATAAAAAGACACGTCCTTCAAAAACGGGGTGTGCATATGCCTTTTTCGGGTTTTCCCGATGCAAGGCGTACACACCGCAATAAAACAATAAAACGATGGGACACAGCTTCGGACCATACGTCCCGGATCACCCCGGTCGGAAAATCTTCGGGAAAGGCCTTCGCCCTTCCCGAGGACTTTCCCTTACCAATTTCAAGGACTTTCCCTACCAAATAAATACGAGGACCTCTCGACCGAGAAGTCAGTTAGCAAGTTTTCCTCCGACTCTCAACGTGTCCATATTTCTGTACCATCCGTCACTCGTTTAACTTTACCTTCTACACACTGTACCTCATCGCCTTTGTTACAAGTTATATTAAAGTTCTCGTTATATAAAAACCAAAAAAACTCTCGGATTATTTTATACAAACCGTCGCAGTAACCCCTGCGACAAACTGGTGACCCCGACGTGATCCGAGAGTACCGCGAGTGCGTGATAACCGAGAACTTAGCAACTTTTAGTGACATTTCGTTCGGCAACATACGAACTTTGCGATCCGAGTGGTGTTATACAAACTGTGTAAACTTTATTTTTTTTAATACATACGAAATGACGGACGCCAGCCCTATCCAAACTACCGCCTCCGGTGTAGAGGTAAACCAAATTAATATACGCGTACCTAGTTTCACACCCGAGGTGCCAGCTATGTGGTTTGCACAACTGGAAGGACAGTTTCTCATAGCGGGAATAAAAAGTGAGAATAAGAAGTTCTGGTACGCAGCCTCGAACTTGGAAACCAAGTATGCAACCGAGGTACAGGATCTAATTATCAATCCGCCAGCTGAAAATCCCTTCAAAATTTTGAAAGAGACGCTCATATCGCGTCTCTCGCAGTCGAACGAATCGTGTCTTCAGTGACTCCCGGAGCGAGTAGAAATGGGGGACCGGAAACCTTCACAGTTTTTGTGGTACTTAAGGGGGCTGGAAAATTCAGTGCCGGACAATATAGTTCGAACTATATGGCTCAACCGGTTGCCGACGTATGTACGAGCAATCCTCGCTACGCACACGGATACGACGTTGGAGAAACTCGGCCTACTCGCCGACCAAATAGTAGAACTCGCACCGAGAGCACACGTAGCCAGTGTAAAGCAAGACTACCCTTAAACCTAAGCATACGATAACATAAGAACTTCTAAACACTCACCCCCTAAAAACTCTGTATATAAGCCAGCCGAACCCGAATAAACCAGTTATTCTGCCGGAACCTCTCTGCGTGCCAACTTCATTCTCCCGAAACCTTTTCGTAGCGTATGCGTACTTTACTTAAAGTTCGGCGCAAGGAATAATTTTCAGAGTATCACGATCGTGTACTCTTCAGTATAGTAATAAGCAGTCAGTGAAAGCTTAGAGTTCCGCGTTAGCTCATTTTTACGTGTCGCGTCCCGTGACATAATTTGGAAATTCCTGCCAGGATCCAGCTA